GAACCAATATATATATATATATATATATATATATATATATATATATATATATATATATATATATATAGTCCGGATCAGGGTGAGAACGTGAGGACTAATCTAGACCATTAAATCAGAATGATGTATGGCTGATATTAAAAGGAACAAATCACACGGATTAAGGAAACAAATTCCTTTAAAATATTAAAATATATAAATTTAGGGTAAATCAATTTTATTAAAAGATGTGCATTCCTATACTGAGTTTTGTGCATTGATAACTTTATTATTGTGTATTCAAACCCCGCCAAAAAATTCTACAGTGGACATCCCAATGTCCTACAATGCACTGAACTATGTACTATAATGCACAACTCTCTAGCCTATGGTGCACAACTTACAACACTAGTTGCACAATCAACACACGAATGAACAATCGTACTACCCATGCATTTGTACATATACACGACCATCCAAATATAGACAATATTATACTCAAAAGAACGAACGAAAAAAAATAAAAAATACTTATTAGTTTACATGGGCGAACACTCAATCAATGATGAAGAAATCGCGGCTCCAAATCGCAACGGTGATGATCTAAGAAAATAGGAAACAAATTTGGCCAAGGATTACACATGCGTTCACACTTAAAAAAAAAAAAAAAAAAAAAAAAAGACACTACTACCCCACTTTAACAAAAAAGATCAATACGTGTCATCTCAGAAACTCAAATCTGGGCCATCCAAATAAAAAAAATAAATAAACGCACAATATTAGTCCTCATGTCCTCACCTGATCCGGATATATATATATATATATATATATATATATGTATATATATATATATATGTATATATATATATATATACACATACATATATATGTATGTATATATATATACACATACATATATATGTATGTGTATATATATATACATACATATATATGTATGTGTATATATATATATATATACATATATATATATATATATATATACATATATGTATGTATATATATATACATACATATATATATATATATATATATATATATATATATATATGTACCGATGCGATTGGTAGCCCCAGGTGCGGTTGTGGGGTTAAATCTGAGTCATTGATCTTACTTAAATCAAGGTCCAGGATTAACAAAATTTTTTTTAAAAAAAAATACGGTGGCAATTTGGTAATTTTTGCATCTAAGTCAAATTTAAGGTGCGTGAGTTTTGTGTTTAAGGTGCGTGAGATTTGTCCTTACGGTGCGTGAGTTTTGTGCTTAATGTGCGTGAGTTTGTGCTTAAGGTGCGTGAGTTTTGTGCTTAATGTGAGTAGTTGTTAAAACTTAAAGTGCGTGAGTTTTGTGCTTAAGGTGCGTGAGATTTGTGCTTAAGGTGCGTGAGTGTTGTGCTTAATGTGCGTGAGTTTGTGCTTAAGGTGCGTGGGTTTTGTGCTTAATGATATGTGAGTAGTTGGTAAATCTTAAAGTGCATGAGTTTTGTGTTTAAGGTGCGTGAGATTTGTGCTTAAGATGCGTGGATTTTGTGCTTTAATTCACGTGAGTTTGTGATTAATGTGAGCCATTTTAAAATTATAAGTGCGTGGATTTTGTGCTTAATGTGCTTTGTTCTGTGCTTAATGTGCGTAGTTTATGTACTTAAGGTGAGTAATTTGTGGTCTTAAGGTGCTTTGTTTGTATGCTTAAGATGCGTGGTGATTTGTGTACTTAATGTGCGCCATTTTAATGTTTAAGGTGCGTTCAATCGCACGGAAAACTATTCCCACACCTGAACCCTTCCATATATATATATATGCGCTTTTGTCCATCTCTTTAATTTGTGTGCATGGGAACAACAAATAATGGAGCTAACAATACCAAATCCATCCCTTTCTTCTTAAATTAGGTGAGCTTGAATTGGCATGATATGAATTATTTCATTTTGTATATTGTAAAGTCACATCTGATGGTAAAAGATTTAGAGGGTGTTTATTATAAGAACTTGAAGATAAGTAGATAACTATAAAAATGTACAAATATTTAGTTTCTAATTTTCCCTGTAGTGTATTATACAATTTTTTTTGAGTGCTATTGATTCTGTTACATGTAGTATCTGTTCGTATATTTTCTCAACCTACTGAAATATAATTTATTTTATTTAATCCGAATATTTTGAATTTATTTATGGAGTAATAATATTACTATACTTTTTAGAAGTAATAAAATTTAATATAATTACTCTCTCTCTCTCTCTCTCTCTCTCTCATGTTACAAATTTTACTTATTATTTTTGATCGAATCAACTCTCATTTATTTATTTATTTATTTTATATAATTTCTAAATTTATTTTTTTTATTTAATAGTATTTTTATGTAATTTTTAAATATATAACTTTATATATTAACATTAAATTAAAGATTATGAAATATTAAATTATAAATTACTTAATTAAATTACTATTACCTAATTCTAACACATAAAAATGATATGTCGTGAATATTTTATTATAAAAATTCACTATAATTTCTTCATTCTTTTTTTTTTGTTGGGCACATAAACGTATATCCGTATATATATATATATATACAAATTTAGTATAATGACATGATATTAAATTTATTGATTTGAATTGATAAATGTCATTTCAGCATTTATTATTCACAAACCTTTTTAACCATTCACAAAGAAAAGGAAAAAATATCAAATAAGCCTCTAAACTTTACTTAAGAAGTCAATTAGATCTTTAAATTTTCAAAAGTTGCAATTAAACTTACAAACATACATGTTGTTTTGGAGCAATGAAACCTACAAACTTGTTGATGACCTGTAAGTGCATGTCAACTAGAGTTTCGTCCAACTCTGGCGAACCTTAGGTGAATGTCCGACCAAATTTCGTCAAGTCATGTCAAATACAAGTGATCGACCTCCTAATTGCTTTGTGCCACTAGACTACAAGGTCACTGGCAACGAATCCAACAATTTTATATAAAAGAAAATATAAAATTTTGATGCAAACTTATTGTTATTAACTATTGTTTTAAAAAAATTCTCTCTTAATTATTCAATGATAACCAGTTGTGTCGATAATTTGTAAATTAAGGCTATATATAAAAATTTGTGGGTCCATCACACATGATTTTTTTAGTGCAATTTTCTTTGCGAAAAAAGTTAAATAAGCTCTTAAAAAATATTTACCTGAAAAGTCAATTAGATCCCTAAATTTTTTAAAATTGCAATTACACCCTTTAACATATTAAATTGAGCCAATGATGATCATTTATCGATTATTGGGCTTCATTGACTCAATTTAACATGTTAAAGTGTGTAATTGCAATTTTTAAAAATTTAGGGTACTAATTGACTTTTTAAGCAATGTTTATGGGCTTATTCGACCATTTTTCTAAAATTTTATATGTAGTTTGCGAGTTATTATACAAAACTGAGATCGAAAAGACTTGATTCAAGCCTGAGCTCGTGTGCACCGGCACTTGGAAATTGGGCTGGTCTTGCAGGCTAAGTTATGCCAACTTTCGGTATCATTTTTCCAACACTAAGCCACTTGACCGAACTGCGACAGCAGCTCGGCCAGAGGCAGCACGAGAATTGCTGAGTTCGGCCAAGCCTTGGCCGAACTCGTGAGGCCGAAACTGAGGCAGTATGGTTTCGGCCTAGGGCCGAAACTTAGCCAGTCTGGATTCAGCGTTAGGGTCGAACCATGGCTGAAGGCCAACAGACAAATATGGGATTCAATTCTGCAGTTATGGAATTAATTTTCAATTAAATCCAAATTTCAATTTTGAATTTAATTCCTGGGTAATGGCTTGCTGTTTCAGATGTTACAAAGCCAAGTTTAATGGCATTGTTTAATACTATTAAGGTCCTACATCCCTATATAAGAAGACATAGAGCAGCAGAAATTTTAACACAAGAGAGAACAAGAAGAATAGCATACACACTTGCACGTTTTTAGCTCCAAAATCTCTGTTTCTACTCCTTTCTTTGCCTAACTGTATTCAAGGCTTTGCTCTAGTTCGCCGGGTTCGTTCGTTTGGGTGCTCAAACGTCGAACCGTAGCACGTTTTATCTTGGGAAACCTAGGCCCCAACGCTCCTAGCATTTTTCACTAGTACAGAAATGCACATTCGCTACCCTTGTAAAGGGTCATCCGCTACCCTTGTGCAAGGGTAGCGGATGTGGGGGACGCTGAAAGTCGTGAGCTTTCCGCTACCCTTGTATAGAAGGGTAGCGAATATTATTATATTTTTAAAGCATCCGCTACCCTTCTTTCAAAAGAAGGGTAGCGGATTTTTTTTTTATTTAAAAAAAAAACATTTTATTTTTAAATCCCCCAATTTTTTAAAAATCCTATACGAAATTCATACACTACATATCAACACAATATTATCAACAAACTATCAAAACACAATATTATCAACACACTATATATTAACACAATATTATCAACACACTACATATTAACACAATATTATCAACACACTATATCAAATACTAAAGTAAAAGTAAAGGAGCAAGATCACTTATTTCTAATGTAATAATTTAATTTGTTATTCAAAGTGATGAACATGCAACCAAAACTAAAACTTACATAATAAATTTGCATATGATAATAGATACTTTATACTTTTAAGTATATATGCATGTATAAAAAGAAGGAATATAATAAAGCACATGATCTTTAAATATGATTAGCATGCTACATTCATCACATAGATCGATCATAAATAAATACAGTGTATAGTGTATTTTTTTTTTTTTTGAATACTATTGTACTTAAAAGGTCGTAATGAAACGTTTACAAACCTCTCCACTGCCGTCTTCCTCATCATCATTCACTTCAGACTTGGACTTATCAAACTCTTCCTCATCACCTCCCTCCTATTTGTCAATCACAAGAAAGACTCAAACTTCAAACATAAAACATACTAAAGGAACAAGACAACCAAGATAACTATACGAATTGAATAATATATGAAAACTTACTAACCTTTTCTTAGTTGTAAGCTTCCATCTGTCTGTTGTAGTCCTCCTTGCGCTGCTATGCCTTAGCAATGTAGGGAGCTTTCTCCTAAATTACAAATATTTTCATTAAAAATGCTCCACAACCCATTAAAATGATGAACCCAACTGCAAATATACCAAATAGCAAACAATCTACCATTTTCAGATGTGAATTTCCAAGTAGCCATTCCATTGATTTATACTTCCAAAAGCAAAGTGGCATAGCAACACATAGAATTCCCAATATTAAAATAAAAATAAAAATAAAAATAAAAAGCAAAGTATATTACATTATTTTGGTGCACTGACAAGAGAAACTAGCTCAGCACTATTGGTCATACTCAAACATATTAAATATGCTTGTGTAGCAATCAAATTATTGTTGAACCTTAGTTCATCACTTTATCATGTAAATTGTGGCCTAGTTCTCTCAATTATTCTCCTTTCTCTTTTTCTCTTTTTCTTTTCTGTTTTCATCATTCTGTTTGTTTTCTTTTTCTTTTCCCTACTATTCCATCATTTCCTTTTTGCCAAGGCACTCCCAAATCAGTGTGAGTGTTGTACAAGGACCACACCAAGCCTCCAGCCCCAAACAAAACCATACACAGCAAAGAAACAAAACTAAGAAGACATGAGATACCAAAACTAATCCTTTCTAGCATGCTAAAAAGAGATGACCATGGTGTTCCATTGCCAGCCCCAAGCTTGTTCCTTGCTTGCCACTTTACCTCTCTGCTGACCACCCTCATATACTGCCCAGCTAAGCAATAAATCATCAGGTTATGCCCGCAACTCCATCCCTGTTCAATAAACCACTTTATCTTTCTGTTATCCTTTTCATGTTCTTTACTCTAACAGATCCGCTCCTGGTTATATTAAGTGTAGACAACAATAAACCAGTGCTTAGATATCATGAGTAGCAAAGTTTCATGCATAAATTTTCAACATTGAGAATGATAGATAAAAAGTAAAACTGATATTACTTGTGAGTGAGAAATAAAATTAAGAGTAAAAGAGTGAGAAACGATACTCTAAGTACCCCAGAACATATATAGTCTTAAGAGTAAAAAGTCAATGTTCTGTTTATCCTTCTACTGTTAAAAGAAATAATCAACTAAAGCATCTTTATCTCCAGAACATATATAGTCTTAATACTTTCTCAAACATAAATGAGACAGTAAAAAGAAAAAAATAGTACAAACAAGCATGGGACTATACTGTTTTGAATACAAACTTGTTCATTTAACTACAACTCACGTGACCCAAAGTGTCACGATACAGATCCTTGAGTGATAAGCAGTAGTATAGACTTGCTATTTACTGAAATTGCATGAAACTACTTGAAATTTCGAAGAAGCAATTAAGGAAGAAAATGTGGCCATTCAATAGATTACTTGAAAAGAAAAAGCTTTCTTTTTCTAATGCTTTCCTAACATTGTTTCACTGATCCTAACATTGCAATCACACAAATCCCTTTAAAATATGATTTGTAGTGTTCACTGATCCCCACTGCATTTTTTAATCAAATCCCCTATCCAATATATGTTTATGAAACACTAGCTTTATATATAGTATGTCCCCACTGCAATATGTTTATATATAAAATAATTTTGCATTTTCAAAACTATCCTAACATTGTTTCCAACATTCGTACCCACTGCAGACAGACGAAAAAGATAGAATTCAAGCTTTAGGACAATTGGTTTATCACTGCAAATTTAAAACTTTAGGACAATTGGTTTATAATAACCAAAATAACAACAAATAACTAAAAATTCGAAATACAGATTATAAAAATTAACAAACATAATATTTATTACAATAATAATTTTTAAAAAATTAACCAAAAAAAAAAATATTACCTGATACGAAGCAGCGGCGGCGAAGGCTGATAACTGTGGCGGTGGACACGGCGGATGAGGGCATTGCGGCGGTGAATCGATGAACAGGTGGAACTCACAGCGCGAGGAGAACTGAGTGGCGGTGAGGAGAACTGTCGCGGCGGCTGAGGGAGTCACTGGTGAGGCGTCGGCGTCGGCGCCGGCGTGTGTTGAGGGAGGGAGGTGAGGCGTCGATCGGCATGTGTTGAGGGTTGTGAGCGAGGGTTTTCGATCAACTGATTATTTTTTCTTTTTTGAGTTTTTTTTTTTTTTTTTTTTTTAGATATTGTTTCCGCTGCCCTTGCTACGAGAAAGGGCAGCGGTAAACTGTTTTCGTCTTTTTTTTTTTATTTAACCGCTACCTTATTTTAAAAAGGGTAGCGGTTTCTTCTTCATTTATTTACAATAATGCCACCGCCCCATTTTTTTAAAATAATACACTACCCTTGTTTAAAGAAGGGTAGCTTAAACTCTAATTTCTTTGCTCCATTTTGTACTAGTGTTTGGGAGGTAGCAAATAAGGTTTTAAGGAAAGAGTGATCTCTTGACTCGCGTTTAAAACCCTATACCCAAACACGAGTCAATCTCCTTCTTCTTTCGGTTTGGATTATGCTTCTAAGCAAAAATCCTCTCTTTATATTTGTTTTTGTCGTTGGATTAGACTTATACTCTGAGGATTATTAGTTTCAATTTTGGTTGATATATATTGATATATCTTTTTTCATATATATATATATATATATATATATATATATATATATATATATATATATATATATATATATATATATATATAAATTTTATATATTTTCGTGTGTATATATAAATATTATTTTTGGAATATTAAATCAACTTTTGGTTCGTTATTTCCAACATCTCTCTTAAGGGATAAAGTACACGGCACTCACGCCAACCAAGTTATTTAACAAAGTCTAATTTTAATACAACTGAACAAGTTAGAAATCGCTTTTAATTTATCTAATCTAAACTATAATAAAGCTATATGGTTGGGAAGTAATTTATGTTACAATTAATGTTACTTCCCAAATCATATAGTTAAGATTAATGTTACAATTAATTACCAACATTATTATTATTACTAGCTATAAATATAAAATAGCCACAACATCCTTTACTATAAAAACTAAAATAAAAAATAAAAAAATAAAAAAATAAAAACACAACATTTGAAAAATAAAATAGCTATTTTTTTCTCGCCCATAACAAAGGATTACATTTATTGAATTAATGGAGTTATTAAATGTTATGATATTAGGATTAAGGATTCCGATTCCCGATTAATAGAAAATATGAAACGATGCAATATCAATTAAATCTCTGGCTTTACAATGAAAGTTTATTGATATGCTTTTGTTATATATGGTGCTTCTACAATATTAATTAAATTTTCGATGAAAGCCTATTCGATATCTGAAACAGTGCAACTAATGCAAGCCTCTACATATAATTTTTCTCCCTCTCAAATGCTTCAAAGAAATGGCAGAAGCGAGAAGGGATGAAGAAAGCAAATGCTGCGGGCCGTGGGTCAATTATTGAATTTCAGAATAAAAAAAAAAAATCATTCGATCCATAAATAAAAATTTAAATATATATATAAATGTATATATCATATGGGTCTTTAATGTTTTTATGGATTTCTAAACTTAGGACTTTTAAAAGAAAAAAAATACATTTGAATTATCTCCACAAAATAGTGGACTTGGACTTATAGAATGACATTTGAGTTTATGGAATGACATGTGCATAAACAATGTATTATATAATCATATAAAAAAATATGTTCAATTAGAGTTTAAATTTACTCATACAAAATTTGAAATTTACTTTCTAAATGTAATTATCTTAGTTATTATTTGTATTGTGAAAATTATAATATAGCTAAAATACAATTAAGAATAAATCAATGTAATTATGTAAATTCTCTCTATAAGTTTATTTGAATATGTACATAATTAGAAATTATATTAACCATACAAAATTTTAATTTTAATTTTAATTGTAATTTTGTATTTTATAAAAATAATAAATACTTGACCAATGCAAGCTCAAAATATTATTATATTAAACAATTTAAAATATTTTTATTTTTTTATTTTTTTATTTTTTTATTAATATTTATAATAACATAATTTTTCCCCGTGCATCGCGCGGGTGATAATTATTAAAAATAACAAAATTTTTATATATGAATAAACCTTACATAGGGTATTTTTTTTATAACATATTTGTCGTGCATCGCACGGGACAAATACTAGTTCATTATAAAGATATAAGAACTAAATTAGGCAAATTTTCAAAAAAACAACAAGAACTAAATTTGGCAAACGTTTATAACGTAAGCAAAAGTGAAACATAGATAATAAATTTTTGACCATTTATTTCATCCCTTTTGTCACAACTTTCATAGGAGTGTTAATTAAACATTAAATTGCTGAAATAATTTTTAGACTATACTAACTTTACAACTTCTTTCATTTTTTTTTTTGAATGCTACTAGCTCTATTACATTGTAGTATCTGTTCATATACTTTCTCAACCTACTGAAACACAGAGAGCTAATAACGCCTCCACTGAGGCTCGAACTTACAACCTTCCAAATGGAAGTCTAACCCGGATACCATTAGACCACATAGTCGAACTTACTACTTCTTTCATTTAGGGTAACTTCATTTAATAATATTTGTACCTAGTTTTTTGGTTTGAGCATAAATTTTATCAATAAGTCAATTTTATACATAATTTTTTTATCTTATCATAATTTTATCAACCAATCAATTTTGCACCTGATTTTTTTTATTTAATCATAAATTTTTTCAATCAATCAATTAAAATAATACCGTAATTAACTTTTTTTTATTATTTTATAATGAGTTAATACCCAAAATCGTCATCGACTATAGTGATTTTTCTCAATTTCGTCCTAAACGACTTTAGTGACCTAATATCGTCCTAAACTTTTGTGTTTCGCTCAATTTAGTCTCAGAATTTTGTGTTTTTGCTCAATTTAGTTCCTCATTTGTTATTCTGTCCATTTGGTGTTAAATAAATAGACAATTCAGTAATTTTAATATTGGCATCTCTTTACTCATAGACATGTGAACTGCGAAATCCTTTTTTTTTTACGAATTACTTCCAGAATTACTCCTAAAACTGCGAATATAAAATTTAATTTGCAGGTCCGGGAGTAATTCTGGGTGTAATTCGTACAAGAAAGAGGAATTTCGCACTTCATTGAAAGTAAAGAAAGATCAATATTGACATTACTGAATTGTCCCTTTATTTAACACCAATTTGACGGAATAACAAATGGAGGACTAAATTGAGCGAACTACAAAAGTCTAAGACGATATTAGGTCACCAAAGTCGTTTAGGACGAAATTGAGAAAAATCACTATAATTGAGGACGATTTTAGGTATTAACTCATTTTATAATCGAGAAAATCCCCACAATACCATTGCCTCTTGACTCTTTATTTGTGATGTGACGAGGCCCCAAGGCATCAAAGCGAAGGATATCCTCCAAGGAGGTTGATTCAAATTAAAATCACTGCACCCCAATTCCTCGATTGACCCCTTTGTTAAGTAGAAATCAATACCATCTTAAAAAGTTCTCGATTAGTCATTAACATCACACATCCAAAATAACCCAAAACTTTTAATTAAGTGGAAAGAGACCGATTCTATCTAATTCGGTTTACCGCCCCCACTGATGGACATTGATTTTTTTTTTTCTTTTGAGTACTGCTGACTAAACTTATATCGGCTTCACTGAAGCTTAATTAAACACATAATCTCCCATATGAAAAAACTACATCATACCACTTAACCACAAAGTCATTTGGCGTTGATGGAATGATGGGTACCTATTTCTAGTTCTTTAGATATAAAAGCTTTTATCTAATTTTTGTAATCCATTTTAATCATTAGACAAAAACTAAAGTAAGTATACATTGATTATTGAGTAAATACTCAAAATGGTCCCTCAACTATAGCTAAATTCACAAATTGGTTCTCAATTTTTAATTTCGACCAATTAAGTCCTTAACTTTGTAATTTTAACACAATTTGGTCCTCTGTCTATTTGACCGTTTGTTGACTGTGATTTTTGAGGATATATATATAATTCCATGGTCCATCGTCGAATTTTTAAGGTTCTGGTTGTATTTCTAGACCGCAATGTTACATTTGAATCCACTTCCGAAAGCAATCTACCAAATCCGGTTGCATTTCTTCATCCTCCCTTTGGATTCAATGTAGTTGAGTTCGTACCAGAGCGAAGAAGACGACGTGTTTCCGAACCAGTGCAACGTCATCCTGGAGGCCTCCACGTGCTTCGACGAGAGCGGAAGGTTCTTTTGGAGATCGTCGATCACGGTCAACAAACAGTCAAATAGATGGAGGACCAAATCGTGTCAAAATTACAAAGTTAAGAACTTAATTGGTTGAAATTGAAAGTCGATAATTAATTTGTGAATTTAGCTATAGTCGATGGACCATTTTGGGTATTTAGTCTTGATTATTGATAGTCAAAAATTTTAAAAAACTATAGTAATAGAATGATTATAGGCAGAGAGGAGAATATTTTAGTAATTTACTTTTTAAACATATTTTAACATAAATTACTAAAATAAGTCGAGATGAAATTGGTCTGCTTCTCCTTGTGCTGACCCCAAAAACATAGTAACAAAAAAAATGTCCGACTTTAGGATACAAATTTTAACCACGAGTTGCGATTTTGAATTCTAATTTTCTTGATTTGAGCTGGTCAACTATGAATAATTAGACTGATTTACTTCATTGTGATTCTTTTATCAACTAGAATCACAAGACAAGATTCGACCATTTCACACTCTTAAATAGTGACCAGTAAAAAAAAAAAAAAAAGAATGGGACATTTATCCTCCTCATTCACCTTAGTAATAGTACCTAAGAGGAATATACAAAAAGACTAGAATACATTATTGATCTGATCCTATCCTTGTTCATGAATCTCCTTGAGATCTAAGGATGAGAGAGGAGAAGTGGGTGGAGATGAGAGAGTAGAGAGTGCAGATGAATATGAAGTGCTGACATGGTTGGATGGATAATGATGGCAGGTTTTGGGGGATGAAGAAGATGAAGAAGAAGATGAGGTTAGATGAATGAGCAAATCCACAAAAGCCCCAAGGATGAAGCCATGGTTGACCTTGGCGTTCATCTTCAAGTACCAGCCCAGAAGCTCCTGCAACGATTCCCAATCTCTCATCCCCTGGCTCTCCACCATTTCCTCCATGGATTTCTTGAAATCCGCGTACGGGTCGGCGGATTCCATGGTCATCACCACGCTCGCCGCAAACGGCGCTTCTTCCCCCAGATTTTCTTGATTTTCCGGCGGGGTTGCCGCCGCCGCCGTGGCGGCGGCGGCGGCGGCGATGGAGGAGCTGGTGTTGTTCTCGGCGCGGTCGAAGAACAGGCGGTCGGACCTGACCCCGGTGACGATGATCCGCTCGTCGTCGGACTCCGTCGAGAAGCTGGCGGATTCGGAGGTGTTGGTGAACCAGGAGTCCGGGGTCTCGACGCCGCCGTCGTCGACGGAGGAGGGGTCCAGGTAGACGGAATTGACGGTCTTGAACATCACGGCTCCGGCTCCGGCTCCGGCGTCTGCTCGGAAAGACAGAGTCTTGGTAGCATGGCCGCAAGATGGCCATTGCCAAGCTGCATTCATCATGTGCAGCTGATCTACTGCTTTGTTCTTGAAAATGGAAGGGAGCTTCATCTTCTTGGTCATCGGAAACAATGGAGAATTTTGCTCCAATCGTCTTAAAGGCGTGTTTGGTCGTGAGATAGCATTAATGGTGATCAGAAGGAATGGCAGGTGAGCGTGGGATGTATATAAAGCGGAGGCGGTGAGGACTCAGGAGAAGAAATGTAGTATAATAAATGTTATTAATTATCCAATTTTGTTTTTTAAAAAAAAATTAACCATTTTTTTTATTATAATACTGTAATTATTAAATAATTTTTTTAAATAATACTCTAATTATTGTAATATAGCCAGTAGCATTAAAAAAAAAACAAAAAACAAAAAAAAAATTGAATGTTAGTGACTCTATTACATTGTAGTATCTGTTCAAACTTTAAATACACTTTTTCAACCTAATGAAACAGAGAGTCACTACTGGAAATTCTGAAATTTCCGACCACCTGAAAATGATCTTAAATTAAGTTGATACCAAAAAGTCCAAAAAGTGGTTGGAAATAGCAACAAAGGTTTTTCCGGATACCAAAAGTGGTCGGAACAAGACTTTCAACTTGATTTATGATCACTTTCAGGTGGTCGGAAATTTCTAGTGAGTCAACAATGCCTCCACTGAAACTCGATCTCATGACCTCCCACATGAGAGATGTCACTATAGTGTTAAAATACATAAATAAACCAATAGTTTAATATTCCTTCCAATAGTTTAATATTTCTTCTGTCCCATGTTGTTTGTCCGGCTGGATGAAATAATTTTTAATTCGATTTTTCATAATATTAAGTTTAGACGTTTAGTATTAGTATATAAAATGTACGGAGTATATATTTAGAAATTACATTAAGGGGTGTTTGGTTCACATAATGTTAGATTATCTTTTTAGATTTCTGGAAATGTTAGATTACTAGGAATATTAGATTCTGCGTTTGGTTAAAAACTAAGGTATGTAAGACATTGGTAATAAGACAAATTGATTAAAATGCCAAAAGCCCAAAATTAACAATAAGATAAGGGAACGTGAGATTATATAAGAAATTGGAGGGTATCTCACATTCCCTTTCAATAGTTAAAAACATAATGTGGAGGTTATGTGACATTTCCTGAAAAATTACATAACATGAACCAAACATGAAAATCTTATATTTCTAAGCAAATATAACTTTAGTTATCTTATATAACTTGAACCAAACGTCCCTAAAAGTACTATTAAACACAAAAAATTTAATTTAAAAATAATTAAAAATTACTAACGAAAATAAACAAAACAAAAATAGTTGATTTGACCAATGAATACTTGAATAGTAAATGAACAAAGGGGAGTATTTAAGTTTTATGAATTCGATTAAGTTTTATACTTACATTCTGATATTTTCAATTTAATTTTCAAAATAAAAATTAAATGTTAAAAATATTTATTAAACTTTAATTATTCTAATAATCCAAATTTAAAATTTTAATACAAAATTTCAAAATGTTATTAAAAGTTAAATTATATTCAACTATCGACGGTGTGGTTAGAATTTTTAGAATTTTTTTTATTTATTTAATATGATTTTATATAATTGATTAGTATCGTCAACTCATGATATAATGGTCAATAAATATAGTGCAATAATACAAAATTCCCAAAGTAAATATAGATGAAGAACATTTATAGAATTATCAAACAAAAAATGATTATATATATATATATATATATATATATATATATATATATATATAATTAAGTACTTACCATTATACTACTATGTTTTGAAGTCACCAAAACGACAAGGTGCTAAGGTAAGAAAATTGTTGATGCAATTTTAATTTTTTATCATATGTTATAATCAATGTGACGTTTCAAATAAATCACGATAATATTAGGCGTGATTCATACAAAAACAAGCAAAAAATGGTAGAAAAGAAAATACTATGCATATAAAAAAAAATAAATAAAAAAAATGATGGGTAATGGGTAAGACAAGTCATGTGTGGTGTGTGTACTTAATAGTGAATTTTGGAGGATTTATTACTTTGTTATTTAATGCACCTCCACAACAATATATTAGTGTTGTCAACTCAAATTTAATAATAATAATAATAGTGTTTGATTTCTTTGATTTATCAAATCCTAGGAGTCTAAGGTGTAGGTGGGTTTAGTTCAGCCAACAAAATTCAGCCCCTTCTATATTGTTTTATGTCAATATTTCACAGCCAAACACATGGGAATCACAACCCACCACAATGCAACATTTCTTTTACATTAATGAAATTTATTATTTTATTTCCATAAAAAAAAAATTACATTCATTTTATGGCATACCTAGTGCAATTGACACTTTAAAACTTTTATATTATATTTTTGATTGACGAGTGAAACGCGCATTCATTAACCGACGTTCCTGTACTGTGTAATATAAAATAAGATGACGATGTACTACAGACTTGATCAAGAATCAAGTACAAAAATCATGTTTCACTCAATTACCTCTTTTGCGACAAAATTTTGATGAATGATACTTTATAATTGAATTAAATAAATTATTACTCAGTATACTAATGTTATATATGACACTTTTCATCCTTTTGTTGGTGACATTACCCGATGGTGTACAATGTGTAAGAGCTAAATTAACTTAAGTTCATAACTAATCAGTTAGGAGTCGAACTTGAAACATTATGTTTACTAAGTCAAAAACTCGACAAATTTGTTTTAGGTTGCTCCCAAATAATTTTCGTCCTTTAATTATAGACGTTATCACTTTTTGTTTCCTTAATTATTTGTAAAATGAATTTTTTTTGGGGTTCATTAGTTTGATTAGCGATGATAATTGAGGAACAAAAAAAAAACATTCATAGATAATAATTGAGGGGTAAAAAGTGATGATAATATAATTGAGAGAAAAAATATATTATTTCCTATAGTTCCGCAATGAAAATGTCATTTTCCCTTTGTTTTATTTTTATATCTCATTTTATTCGTTAGATTTATAAATTTAAAGTTCAAACAAATTTATCTTTGAACAGTTATTTTTAAAATTTTATTAAAATAATTTTTAAAATAAATAACATTTTTATAAAATGATATTATTATATTTAATTAAAAATATTTATTATCGAATACAATATTTTTAAAAATGTATTTATTTCTCTTTTACCACTCAACTATAATAGACATTTAGTACTTTAGTTCTTGATTTTATTTTATTTTTTCGCTTTTAGCCATGCATCAATTTTTTTTAATCTACTTTTAATCCAAAATGTTTCAGATACACACTAATTAAGATGAAGTTTTGTGAACATTTTATATATTAAGAATATGTAAGATATTTTAAACTAAAAGTGAAATAAAATAAAACTAAATATTAGATACTAAATATATAATTAAATGATTAAGAATGAAATAAACTCATTTAAAAATGTTAAAATAACAAGTGAATATTAAATAAAATAAAATAATTATTACTCCCTTCATCCTATTTTATGTGTCTAGTTCGATTAACGATGTTTGACTGAAGTTATTTTTAATTCAATTTTTAATATTATTAAATTTAATATTAATATTCAAAATTTTTATATGAGTAAATAACCAAAATCGTCACTCGACTATGTCATAATTCACAAATCGATTCTCGATTATCAATTTTACTCAATCAAGTCATCAACTATTCAATTCTTACTCGATCCTCTGTCAATTTTCCCAATTAAATACAATGGTATTTTTGCCAAATCAAATTGACGGAAGGCCAAATTGAGTAAAATTGAATAGTTGAGACACAATTTTGGTTATTTACTCAAATGATATTTTACTTAATTTTATTGTTTTCTGATTTTATTTTTTTATTATTTTTTTTTTTTATTTTTGTAGTCAAACAAGCTTAAAATGCAAAATATTTGTGGAAATATTATGAATAGAAGATGTTAACATTTGAAGAAGGAAAAATGTGAAAGTTTGTATTTTATTTTTAATCGAATATAGTGAAACAACAAAAACAAAAACAAAAAAAAACAACAAAAACAAAAACAAAAACAACAACAAAAACAAAAACAACAAAAGAAGAAGAAGAAGAAGAAGAAGAAGAAGAAGAAGAAGATGTAGTGTTGATAATAATGCTTTTGAAAAAAGTATGTTAAAATGGAATTATTTTTAATTGTTAAAGTGTCATTTAATAAGATATTTTTTCATTTAACAATGAAAAAATAATTAAATGTTAAACAATATTACCAACTAAATCTATAAATTGAATTTTTTTCCCGACTATACTACCAAAATTCCTTTTAAAATAAACTTTTTTTAAATAACTCTACACATATTACACATATTACAAAAGTAAACTATTTTTTAATACATTTTATCTTTATCAATACTATTGAAATATAATGCCATGATAATTATAATTTTGTTAATCCGTTACAATAAGTCTAAATTGAATTACGTATTTATTTATAATACTTTTATCATTTTTTTCATCAAATGTTTACCCCCTTTAAACTAAATTTTCACCACTACTTTATTTTTATTTCCACTTTATTCGGTTTGAAAACAAAAATATTAACCTACTTTTTTCAAAATAAATAAATAAATAAAATCTCAACACTACATCTTTTTTTTTTTTTAAACATTATTTGGTTGAAAACAAAATACAAACTTCAACATTTCCCTTCATCAAATGTTAACTTCTTCTATTTACTACGGTATAATATTTCTACCATTTTAAGTTTGTTTGACTACCAAAAAGAAAACTTAATTTCAAAAAAAAAAAAAAACAATAAAATTAAGTAAAATACCAGTTGAGTAAATAACCAACGTCATACATCAACTATTCTGATTTTACTCAATTTGATCCTCTTCCATTTAATCTGTCAAAAATGCCGTTATATTCAACGTAGTCAACTGATGGAAGACCAAATTGAGTAATAATTAAATAGTTGAAGACTTAATTGGATAAAATTAGTAGTCAATCGTCTTGTTTGGTAAATGACAATTAGCTGATTAGGTCAATTAGAGGGTATAAATAGTTGATAATATTAGCGAATTGTAGGAATGTGTTTGTTAAATTAGCTGTTAGCTGTTTGATACAATTTATTTTTTTAAAAAGCTAATTGAAAAAGTTGCTTTGAGCTGCTTTTTAAATTTTAACATTTTTAAGTTGATTTTTTTAAAAAATTAAGCATTCAAAAAAAAAAAGTTGATTTTTTAACT